TTTTACAATGGTGGAAAGTAAATGAACGGTCATATCCAATATTATCAAAAATGGTCCGAGATCTACTAACAGTTCCAGTTTCAACAGTGGCATCGGAGTCTGCTTTTAGTGCAGGTAACATAGTGCTAGATGAAAGAAGATCAAGACTTAAAAAAAATATTTTAGAAGCTCTCATCTGCTTGAAAGACTGGTTATTTGCAGATAGAAGAATGCAAGATAAAGTTGCTGACGATATTGCTCAAAACTTTAAAAATCTTACCATAGATTAATAGAATCTGATTTGTGATGACGAAATTATAGTTAAGTGGGTGACAACCCAGTTTGGATGTACTTTAACTATAAGTTTATAAATAGTTAAAAACTGTTTAATTTGCCAAGTTAGGCAAAATATTGTTCGAAAAATTGTAAGTTTTTATGTTATTGATGTAAGATTTATTGAATTTAAATCAATGTAAAATTTATTTTTATGTAACTTTTATCGATTTTCACTCTAATAATAAAATGTAATTTTTACCATTTATTTTTTAAATGACAAAAAAAGGGCTGACCGCAAGGCCCGAACCAATGACCCGGCCCATGCGGGCTTACGGTCCGGCCCGGAAAAGCCCGCATGGGCCGATTTTTTAAACGGCTAGCTGTGTCCGAGCTTCTCAGTGTGCGGGCCGATCCGACCCAGCCCGCCTGTTTTGACATCCCTAATTGTGACTAACAATCATAATTTTTAGTTCACATATCATTTATGTCACAAATTAACAAATTATTGTTCACAAACACCCCACCCCACCCCACCCACGACCACCACCATCACCACGACAACCACCATCACCATTACTACCACCCGACTGCTCATAACCACCACTACAACACCACACACCATAGCAATGCAAAACCACCCCCACAATAACAAAAACCCACCACCCAAACAATGCAAAACAACCACCAATTAGTGAGCGCCGTGTACACCACCACCACAACCACAACCATCCCTTATTCTCTTCTCCGGTCGATATGTAAAGTCGGCCACGGCAGACCGGAGAAAAAATGGGAGACAAGCAGCACCTTCGATTTGTAGCGTCGACCACGAAGAAAAATGGAAGAAAGTTTACCCTCGATTTGCAGCACCCCCTAGTTTTGCAACGGTAGTCCAACACGTAGCGTCATGCGCAACGATCAGGGCTTTGAGATCACCACTACCAACAATCAAAACTTAATATCCATCGCTGAGTGCCTTAAGATCCTCAACGGTGTTGCTACTTCGTTGACTAATAATCGGTTTATTGTTGATATTTTCGTATGCATCTAACAATGTCACGTACGACAGCCGCTTTCTCATCATCGACGATCAATGGAAGCTTCTCATCTCTCCTGCCATCCACTACCCTTGTAGTAGTGCGGTGTTGCTGCTTCATCGATTGATTCGTGTCGCAGGCTAGTTGCGGTAGGGATGAAATGCCAACTACTGTAATGTGTGAGAGAGGGGTGGGTATGGAGATGTATGGAAAGATATAGAGAGAAAAGAGAGTGGATATTTATCAGGGTTTGTGATGAAAATTGTATATTTAATATTTATATATGAAATATCTGATTTGTAAATAATGAAACATCATCTTCGTTTTCAGAATAATGATATTTAAAAATAGGATGGGATGTAATTTCCACTAATAATAATGGGCATATTGGGTGAGTTGTGGTGCTCCATGGCCCGACCACCAAGTCTCTGTTTGGTTCGGTTTCTTCACTAAGGGACCGGGTTCCGGTCAACCCATGAGCCTCGTTCGCTATGAGTTGATGAGCCTTATTTACTAAGCTCGCACAGCTCGTTTGTTCGAATTTCGAGTTTTGCTATGTCCATGAACTCAAGGTGGAACAAGTTGAGCCGTCAACAGTCGAGCTCTCAAGAACCGGCTATGACCCGAGGGCCGATCCCATTACAACCCGTTGTTGTGTGATTCCAACCGTGGGCGCAGTTATGAATTACTTTTAGCCAATGAGAAAAATCTAAATGCAATGAAGCGTGGGCCGCGTGGCATTTTGTCTGCCGTCCTAAATTTTTTGTCTCACCCGCCAAGTGAAAAATGAGAAAATCTACCGAAGCTTGACTCTTGAGGCGCAAATCAGAAACCCAATTTCTCCATTCATTATCTTACTCACTTCTCTCACGTGGGTTTCACAATTTGCCAACAAAATGTAATGATTTTCAAGATGAAAATGCATGTTTTGGCCTCTGATTCTGGTAAAAAAAATTGAGTATATAATGAATCTGTGTTTTGTTGAATTGTACAGGGAAGATAGTTTGAAGCCAATGGATGCAGAACAACTGAGGGAGTGTGGTCACAAGATGGTAGACTTCATTGCTGATTACTACAAGAACATTGAAAATCTCCCAGTTCTTAGCCAAGTTCAGGTTTTATACTTAAACTCTTCGCTTTGTTCCCCCTTCCATTCAATATATTTACTTTTTATTCCTGTCCTTGATGGTCAACTTTGCTAGTACATTAGAAATGATGTGGTTCTCGGACCCTTTTTTTTGGTTGCTTAAGGATTAAATTGCTACATATAATTTTAAAATTTCAAATAATATACTGCCATATAATAATGGCAAAATGTTGTTTGGGAAACTGTTTGTTTGATTAATATAAGGTCGAACGGTTAATTGAAATCGCAGTGATTTTTTTTTCCCTTATGCAGCCCGGATATCTGCGCGAACTTCTGCCAGACTCTGCACCAACTCACCCTGAATCATTGCAAGATGTTTTGGATGGTGAAAGCTTTAAGTACTTATATTTGCATTTGCAAATTGATTTTGATTGTCCAGTTTTACTATTTGGCCCTTGTGTAAGTTGTGTGGAAGTGATTATTTGAAAAATTATTTTTTTGGAGGAAGCGTGATTAAAATTAGGGAAAATTTAAGGAAATGTGAAAAATGATTTTTTTTTTAAGAATGTGTGGTTGAAAATTTGTGGAGGAGCAATTTTAAAAAAAATCACTTCCACACAATAATTTGTAAGAAACATGAATGAAGAAACTTCTGAATTCAATTTAATTAACTCAGAAGATATATATTGAGGGACTATGTTATCATTTCATTGCAGATGTTCAGGCAAAAATATTACCTGGAGTAACACATTGGCAAAGCCCGGATTATTTTGCATACTTTCCATCCAATAGTAGTGTTGCAGGAATTTTGGGGGAGATGCTCAGTGCTGGGATTAACATGGTGGGGTTTAGTTGGATAACTTCGCCTGCTGCGACAGAACTTGAAATGATTGTTTTGGATTGGCTTGCGAAGGCACTCAAGCTACCTGATGAATTCCTTTCAATGGGTATTCCTTTTCAAACAAACTTCACTTATAAAAAAATTATATATTTGTTCTTAAACAAGTTATTTATTTGATCAGTTTAAAATTACTCAATATATGGAAATTGTGTATATGATTGGGAATTGAGTTTCAGGAAAAGGAGGTGGAGTGATACAGGGCACAGCAAGTGAGGCAGTATTAGTTGTGCTTTTGGCTGCTCGGGACAAAGTTCTAAGAAAGGTTGGGAAAGATGCCATTGGAAAACTTGTGGCCTATAGTTCTGATCAAACTCATTCTGCTCTACAGAAAGCCTGCCAGGTACATCAAAAATCTTGTACGAGTACTCCAGTTCTTTTGGCATTAGAACCGCTCGATCCATTGGCATATTTAGCTGTGTATTTTATGGATTGCAATACTAGTAATTGTAGAAGTTAGGCATGTTGATTATGTTGCAGATATAGAAGGGTCACTTTTGTGGAGCAATTTTGTTCCCTGACCGACATTTGTTGAATTTGTAATTTATCTGTATTTGTTGCTTCATTTACAATTTGTGGCAGATAGGAGGGATTCACCCAGAAAACTGTCGAGTGCTGAAAACAGACCCTTCCACTGAACATGCTCTAGCTCCTGAATCGCTCAGTCAAGCAATTTCACAAGACATAGCTTCTGGTTTAATTCCCTTCTTCTTGTGTGCTACAGTAAGGAAACTAGAAAAAAAAATACAAAGAAGCTTTTCTGATTGTTACATGCTTGTCCAGCCTGCATTTTGTGCTTGCTGCTTCATTACTTTTTCCATGGAAAACTGGAGTACTTTGCAATGCTTACTTTCTCAATGGAAACATTAATATTTACCTACAGTCCATTTTACCTATATGTGTATTATGAAGGGAGTACTCTCTATTATGGTTTGGATGGAGTGCCTGAGACTCTTTTTCACGAGCTCTACGTTATTGTTAATAACTTTTCTGCAGATGCACTAATCTTTTGTTTTACATTTACTCTTATATGATCAGTGACGGTTTTTCTTATTGTCTAAATTAGATTGGGGGATGTCAAGTGTCAATATGTTTTTTCACATCCTTGATGGTGGAGCTCCTGCTCGTTAGATACCTAAACTTAATACTGTAATTTGAACTTGAGATTGTACTGTGTTGTTTATTATAGTAAACTGAATTGAAAACACGTATACGAAAAGACCTTAATTATTTTAGCCTGCGTGGTGGGTGGTAGGGGAGGTGCTCGATCATCATTCATTTTTCAACTAGTAATTAATCTTGACTACTTGAGGAACTTTGGGATAGTGTTTACTCAATTTCCAATAAACAAAAAGAAAAATTTACAATGGATTTAGACTGTTTTTACTACTGTTATCCTACTAGATAAGAGACTTGTTTTAATATACAATGAAAGGTTATGGTCAATATAAAGCTTTCCTATCTATTTGTAGGTTGGTACCACATCATCAACAGCTGTGGATCCTTTGCTTGCATTAGGAAATATTACAAAGGTGAGATTTTCGAATAAATTTAGATAAATGTCAGGATGTTACAATAAGAGAACGTAAATTGTGGCAGTTGTCTCATGCCATTTTTCTTTTTCATGTTCCACTCCTCCCTATCACTTACTGTTTTATGAAAAGGGCAGTTGTTTGTGTTGCTTCAAGTTTATGCAAAATTTTAAATCTCTGTATGAGTGCCTAACGAAATGATTAGGAGGCCTGCTTAAGACAATGAGTGCAAACACTATCTGCATGTTGACTCTTCCATGAGATTTATATCAAAGCTGCAAGTCTAACACACCGTTATTGATCTCCCGAGGTAGATCTATTATTCAGTATATTCACCATCTTACCCCAGCAAAATTTAAACTAATATATTCACAATCTTGCCTTAGCAACACAGACAATCTTGTTCAGCAGTCATCCAGTCTAGATACAATACCACAGATTAAATGGGGTTGTGATGCAGGACTGCCTTTTGAATAATAATAGAATTCAAAGTTTTCCTGCAACAAAATATGAGAGCAAATTATAAGAAGAAAAATAGACAGAAATAAAGCTAAAGAATCTCTCTCGGAAAATTTTTAATGAAGTCTCATCATTAAGTTGCAAAACTTACACAAAAATTTCTTATTCCCACTCTTCTTAAGCTTGGGAGACATTATAAAATATTTATAGACACTTAGATATCCTAATTCCGTAGTGGCAATGACAAGGAATCTTAACAATTTAGAAACTCCACTTCGACAAGTGTTTGACAGCTAATGAATTTGTGACCCAATGCTAACTAACAAGAATCTAACTTGTAGAAAAGAACACTAAAAGTATGGACACAAAATAAATACTAACTAAAGAGAATACTAAGTGATAAATATAGGTAAGAAGTTTGTCTTAGAATTAAAATAGAGTTCATCCAAAATTTCGATGTTTGTATGCATTTGGGTTGTTTTTATGCAGCATCTTATCTTTATTATTCCACATGCCATAGATCTATCTGCAAAATGCTTATTATTCCAAAGGGGCACTAAATGCACTTATGATGGATGCACAACTGCTTGACAGAGTAATGGGATCTGGTTTCATGTGGATGCTGCTTATGCTGGAAGTGCTTGTATTTGCCCAGAGTTCCGCCACTATATTGATGGTGTTGAAGAGGCCGACTCATTTAACATGAATGCACATAAGTGGTTTTTAACTAATTTTGACTGTTCAGCTCTTTGGGTTAAGGTTTGTCACTTTTTTCATATTATCTCCAACACGTGCAATTTTTATCAATGCCATCATGGCTTATTTTCTCATATTTGGTTGCTAAGGATGCCCGGAATGGATAAGACAGAAAAATAGTTTATATGTATCAACTTTTTGAGAAATGTTCAACAGAGTACTAGGAGCTTCACAAAGAATCTCTTTTTTCTGCTTATTTGTTTCAATTGAAGAATTTATAGGCGTGTCTTTTCCTTCGTCAAAGAAACAGCTTGGTGCTGTTGATAAGTTCTAAGGACTTAATTATCAAGTTATGCTAGATATTCTTTTAGCACTGTGATGTTATAAAAAATCTAAATTAGCTTGATTACTCTCATTCTTCTGTCAATTCTCATGCGGTATTAAGTGATGGTTATTCTATGATTTGAGTAGCATGAAATGGCTTCACTGTGTGTCTGGTTCCACTTACCTGCTACTTACATAGTTACCTTTTTTCTTCAAATAATCTATTGTTATTATATTGAGAACTTCTAAACATGGATGAAAAATACTGTTTAAGAAATTTTTTTATGTTTTCCTAATATATTATATTCCTAGAATGAAACAAATTTATGGTATTTCCTCATCAACAGGACAGAAGCGCCCTCATTCAGTCACTATCAACAAATCCCGAGTTTCTTAAAAACAAAGTAAGCATGTTGAAGCACTACCTATATATTTTCCTTCTGATGTATTTGTAGCACAATATTGATTGATATGCCTCATATTTAATTACTACATGTTCATTTTTTTATGGCGAGATGAACTTAATCAACTTTTTGGTAACTGAGGGTAATGGTTAATTTTCGTCATGTTATTTAGTGGTGTGCAAATGCATCAAAAATCAATTTTATCTTAATCTAATCCATTTCAACCACGTATGAAAGATTCATTTGGGCATATTGAGAGAGATTTTCATTTTGTGATTGATAGGCACCTGCAAGTTTGCTCCAGTTAATTGTTTGTTGTTAGGGGTATCATGAGGATTAGTAGAATAAGTTTTAGAAGCATGTAACCATAAAATGGGGGGCTAGGGTGTTCGTTTCTTTTGAGGCAGAAATTAGAGGTCAAATGGGGAGAGAGTTAAGCCTCTCAAAAGCCCAAGTCCGCTGTATTTTCGTGTTGTTCTTACATTGCTGCAATACAATACAATTACAATTCCATTCATTGCAATATTACAACTCGGTTCATATCAATCTATTACCATTCCACTTCACTGCAATTTTACAAATCAGAATCCTACCAGATATATATTATGCAAAGCTCATTTTCCTATGATAATCATGTTCTCATTTATGCGATTGTTATTCAGGCTTCTCAAGGAAACATGGTTGTGGATTACAAAGATTGGCAAATCCCTCTTGGCCGCAGGTTCAGGTGCGTCATCTGATATTACCGAAAGACACGTCTTAAGTTTCCAAACTAGCTTCGCTTCTTGACCATTATGATAACTCAAAACCAGGTTCTCGTTTAGAAACTTCTACATTTAGCGCATATGTTAAAAATAACAATCGGAAAACATTCATGTTCAGAATTGGAGGAACAATAGAATGAAAATGATAGTCTTTTCTTGGCAAGAGAATCAATTAGGAAAAAAACGATTTGTAAACTTTTCAGTGACATCTTCCTTTTTTTCTGGAAGAACGCTGTGTCTTGGGGGTAAATAACCCGCTAAAGTACATTGAAGTATTCATTCTTGATAAAGACTAAGTCGATCACCACTAAAAATTATAGAAGCCATTAAATTTCTTTATCGTCAGAAAATATTTTGATGCGTGATTTCATCTCAATGATGCATACTACTAGCCTTAAATAAATCTTGATTTCATAACATGCAGTCCGCACTAGCAAGTTCAAATCTTTCTGCAGTTCTAGCATTAACGTGACTGGTTTTCTGTGAAATTAGTTGTCTTCTGAATATTTGTTTCATTTTTTAGGAGCAAAACTGCAGTTTACCATATCTAATTGTGTTTCTTCTCAGATCTCTCAAACTGTGGATGGTGTTGAGACTGTATGGGCTGGAAAACTTGCAAGCTTACATAAGAAAACATATTGAATTGGCTAAAACATTTGAAGAACTAGTGAAGCAAGATCCAAGATTTGAGGTAATGATGTTTCTCGTCAATTTCTTCGAATGATACAAGCATCCCAGTACAACACGTCTCTATATTTAAACCAACAAACTTTACGTAAGTAATTTGTTTAATCTTTGAAGATGTCTGCCGAATGTGTTCCTTCTTAGGCTCTGTTTATTCTTTCGTATTCTGTTATAACTACTGAAAAACAATGCATCTAATGGCTACAAAAACATGCAGGTTGCTGCTCCTCGAAAATTTTCTTTAGTTTGCTTTCGTCTGCTGCCTCGTCAGAACAAAGAAGATTGTGCCAACAAATTAAACCATGACCTATTGGATGCTGTAAACTCGACTGGAAAAATTTTCATCTCTCACACGGTATGCTGAAATATATATTACAGTTATACGATTATCAGCCTCCATTCTTTTTTCTAATATTGAATCACGTCATCTTTAAAGTGCATCTTTAACAAAACCGTTAAGAAATTAAGGTTTCCACCCCCACTCCCCATCCCAACCCCAAATTCAAAATATGTGCTAATATGTTGCCAACTCTCCCAACTTTGAAATCCTGGATCCTCACTGGAAAACGAGTAACATAATAGACCATGTTGAATAGTATTTTAACACGAGTATATGTACAGGTTCTATCAAGTAAATATGTACTGCGCTTCGCAGTGGGGGCTCCATTGACGGAAGAGAGACACATTGTTGCAGCTTGGAAGGTGTTACAAGAAGAGGCTTCTTCTCTACTAAGGGTTTTGTAGAGTAAGCCTATTCTTTGTCATTTTATTCATTATAATTCAGGACTTCTTGTTTGGATCATAGATCTTATCCAAATGGAATTAAAAGGTTTGCAACTTTAATAATCTTTGTGTATTTTATGTTAGATTAAACGGGATGAAGTTAAAAAAAAAAAAAACGTGCTATGTTCGTTCATTATGTCGTACAATAATATCAAGAGTGCATATTAATGTTATGGTCCAATTGAAATGACATATCGGGTTGTGGGCCACATGGTCCAGAACCGGCCCAATTAATCTTAAATAAGTCAGTACAGCCACTAGAAGCATATGAAAACCAACGTGATGTCGATGGAAAACCAACTTTAAACCACAATTTAAAGTGAAAATGACAGCACAGCGGCTATTTTAATTGGATTTAAATGTTGAGATTTTTCGTCCAAAATAATGGTCAAATAACGGATTTTCGGAACTAATAGAAGTTCAGTCTGCTTCCTCAAAATCCACAAGTTAGATGTCGAGTGCTCTTTAGGATGACAGTCTACCACAAGATCAAGTTATGGAGAATACCATTGGAAGTGTAGTCACTTCCCATACTATCTGAATACTTTGATTACTGAATTTTGATGACAATTGACATGCTTGTTGCACATCATCACTACTTTAATGCATGTAAAAGTGGTGGATCAACCAAAGAATATATGTTTGCCATCCACACCAGAATAAATAAAGTTTCTCAAAAAAGAATTTAAAAAAAAAAAAAATCTACTATTGGATGAGGATCCATTTTACAGATGGGATTTATCGCTACTTTGGTATATTGGAAGATATCATTATACTGAACCAAATTCATTTATCACTACTTAGGTATATTGCATATTATGCGGATAAAAGAATAATTGAACAAACATCGAATAAATCGTTCTTTTCTTTCTTTCGCCGATGATCCATTTTATTGATGTGGGATTTATCGCTACTTTGGTATATTTGAAGATATCATTATACTGAACCAAATTCATTTATCACTACTTAATAAAAGAATAATTGAACAAATATCGAATAAATCATTCTTTTCTCTCTTTTGTCGAGATGATGGGAGCGAGATAGCTTCTCCGTCTTGTCGAAATTGTGTGGGTATTTATTCATTTTATAACGTGCTACTTGTTGGTTGGTAGCTTGTAAAGCAGGGTGATAATGGAGCACCTGACTTTTGAAATTAAGATAATATCATTTTTGTTACTTAGCATGAAGCTGGAAGAGCAAAGTGGAAACAGAATGGCCCTGTGTGTGTTATTGAACAAAATAATGTTATTTATCATCATGATGATAGAATATCGGTGATGTGGCGATCTATATTGAATAATGAGATTGGACAGTTCGATTTTTACGTGGGGGAGAGAGGGATAGAGAGAGAAGTGTGAGAGATAATGGGTTGTCATATTACCGATATTTCATCATTATGATGATAATGACCATTACTCTACTGAACAATGCACTAGTTGGAATTTGCCCTTATTCAACATTGAATCTATTAACCAACCTAATTTCTTGACTAAGTTTTGAGCAAATCCTATAGTTATTACTCAATTTGGTAAATAAATTGGATTGTGACTGAATCTTTTAACTTGTTCAATATAGAGGTGCACATTTTTGGTAGACAATATTAGAAACATATTGATCTAATTGAGCCAAGAAAAATATGAAGGTTTTGCCAATTCCATTGACAATTCTTACCGCTTAGTTAAAAGGGTCTTTCGAGTATAATAATATAAAATTATTAAGTAAACGATCGATGATAGAAATTCTATCGATTATATCTAATAGTATTACCATCAAAAAATTACGTCTTATTCGCTGAAAACGATATCTTAAAAAATCTTCATCAGCCTACTTCGACGATATTGTCATCAGTAATGTTGTAGGCAACCACTGAAAATGTCATCAGTAATGTTGTAGGCAACCACTGAGAATGCTTTGAACATAATTGTCGTTGAAAGTTGGGATCATTGGCAAAATTTTATTATTTACCCAACTTTATATCTTTTTACAAATTATTGATGGACAAGTTCAAATACCTTTTTATTTTTTTATCTGCTATACTAACGACGAATGTGTTCATATACCTAAATTACTTTTTCCAGTTATTATTTAATAGCTGATATATTTTCTTGAAAGTAAAAATTCTATCGGTAAATAAAATTTATCGAGACAATTTATTTATTTATTTATGTAAGTTGTCATCAACGAAAAACTCTATTTTCAATCTTAAAATAATTGTTAGTGTTACTCGTGGACTTTCCTTTAGTAATTTTTACTACTTTATTCAGTATAAAATTTCCATGTATAAATTATATTTATTAAAATTACTACCTACAAAAATCATATATTTCATCGGCAAAAATAATTTGAAATGGAAAATCTTAAAATATAAGGTGTTTAATTATACATATGAATATGATGGACCCTTACACAACCACCTAATTTTGTTAGAGATCGTGCTAGCTCTTATCATCTCTAGTTCAATAAGAGTGTCACTCTTGTCGAGGCAAGACATATATATATTTTTTTAAACTTATAGTTAATTCACTTGTTTTATTATAATTTTTCAAGGTATCTTCTCTTTACCCCAAAACAATATATATTCAGCTATGCTACGTGTACAGAAAAATACTGTCAGAATTTTTATAGAATACACTTGACAATTTTTTATTGGACAATGCAAAAAAAAAAAAAAAAAGAAGACCAATCGCCACAACAACATTTGATGAAATTATGACAGCCCTGCTTCTCTTGACAGTTTTTTATTGGACAATGCAAAA